TAGCCATAGGGTGAGAATCAAACTGACCAAAACAAAGGGGAAAAGGAGGCCATGAGTCAAGTAGAAATGCATTCACCCCCTGCCAAACTCATCGGCGGGGAACTATGCAAATCCCATATGGCCCTCCCTGCTTACCAGCTTGAAGCGGGGCAGAGGGATTTTGCTCACATCCACTGGACTTCTCTCGGCGATGTTGACAAACCTTGCTTCTAGAATTGCCACAGCACATGAAACATGGACCCATCTGCCAAAAAAAGAAGGGCTCAGTCACCCCATTCCACAGGCGGGGGGCCTGCTGACAGAACTTCCTCCATCACCCAGTAAAGGTCACTGGGTCAGCCGGGTTCCAGGACTCAGGAGGGAAAGTGTTTACCACATCAATACTGCACGCACTCTGCCCGTGGCCAGTGCAGGATCAGGCCTCTAATCTGTGGCAAATATGCAGAAGCATAGTTGACTCTGTGATGGGTTCAAGGAAGCAAAAACTAGAAAGCAAGCTCAGAGCTTTTCCCACCCAGACACCTTTTGAGAAACAGACACGTCCCAAGTGGAGAAACCGAAGACTGTGGAATCTCTTAATGTCAGACCGTGCTGGGCCTGATATTCCATCAACAGTGTGTGTCAAATGCACAAGGCCCCGGGTTCAGGCCCACTTAGCTCCAACCATATGAAAACCTGCAACAGGGGCTGGAGAGATGGCTCAGTGGTTAAGAGCATTGCCTGCTCTTCCAAAGGTCCTGAGTTCAATTCCCAGCAACCACATGGTGGCTCACAACCATCTGTAACGAGGTCTGGTGCCCTCTTCTGGCCTTCAGGCATACACACAGAAAGAATATTGTATACATAATAAATAAATATTAAAAAAAAATCTAAAAAAAAAAAAGAAAGAAAGAAAACCTGAAACAACCATGGAAACAAAATAGTGTGAACTATTGGCAGGGCTATTGTTGGGAATATGAATAGGTCTGCTGTTTTTGTGGCCTTAGAGGGCAGAACAGGGATTAAAGGCTTTGCAAAGGTAAGAGGTTCAATATTACCAGCCAGCTCTACCCTGCCTGAATCACAACGATCACTGCTAACAGCAAGTCTGGCTTTTGTGGAAACCTGTGCATAAGATATACATGCAGGCAAAACTTCCATACACATAAAATGATGATTTTAAAAAGGGGGAAGAAAGCTGGGCATAGTGGCACACGCCTTTAATCCCAACACTCAGGAGGCAGAGGCAAATGGATCTCTGTGAGTTCGAGGCCAACTTGGTCTACAGAGCTAGTTCCAGGACAGCCAGGGCTACACAAAGAAACCCTGTTTCAAAAAAAAGAAAATGACAAAGAGGAAGGAAAGGAAGGAAGGAAGGAAGGGAGGGAGGGAGGAAGGAAGGAAGGAAGGAAGGAAGGAAGGAAGGAAGGAAGGAAGGAAGGAAGGAAGGAGACAGCAGGCTGCCTCATTAGCCAGCCAACTGTAACAAGGTTAGTGTCCTGGCTTCCAGGCCACAAAATGTCTGTGTCATTCTCATAGGGCCATCATCTGTCGGCATTTGTTGCCAGCGCCTCTCAAAGAAGGATGCTACTTACATCTCTGCCCCTAAGGGGAAAATGAAGTTAGGCAGGCAGTCTAGGGCTGCTTGTTAGAATCAGCCTTGGAGATGCTCACTCAGCAGCAGCTCCCGCCCTCACGGCACTGTGCACGCTGCTTCAGACCTCACCTGTCATCGTTGGCTCTCTGCAGGGCCCCTCCACGCAACGAGCACAAACAGCAATCCTGCCCAGAAAGGAGGAGGAAAACGGTCACCAGCAATTCATTCCCATACAACGTGCCCCCACCCCGAGACTTCCTGAAGACACCTCCTAAACTGCATGAGAAAGCAATACGATGGCAGGTGGGTCTTCAGATGCATGCCCTGTAGTCAGGGCTCCCCTGTGAGAGACGGGCCATAATGCATGACTATAACTGTGTAACGAATCATTTGAGCCCCATTCTCAGACTCCAAACCTAGAGCTGATTTCTTCAAAGGGAGTGACAGCTCCTCCACAGGGCAGCTACCTGGTCTTGCCCCTCTCCCCCCAGAGCCAACAGCTTCCAGACCCACTCTGACATCATGAAGTACCAAATCCTAAGCTAACTGCTGTGGACATAAATGATGTCCAGCATGGAAAGAGGCTAGCCCTGAAGCCACCCCGGTCTTCTGGAGAAGATGGGAAAGACAGGGGATACTCACTTCCTCCAGAGCATTGGCTGAACACCGAGAACACATCCATTCTTCAGAAGCCTTTGCGGGGGGCACCCCATAGCAACCTAATAAACAATACCAGGAAGAGTAAATGAAACCCAATCCAGGGGCTGGAGTCAGAACAGGGAAGAGCAATACTCTTCCATAGATACCATTCCCAAAAACAGTAAATCATACAGAAATTCCCGCAATCTGAGCCAGAGCCCCCAGGGTTCAACCATAATACAATATGGTCCAGAACCCAGGAGAGTCAGAGACTGGATTCACTAGCGCATCTCCCTAGTACGTAGCCAGGGACTAACCCTAGGGACTCCAAAGTTGACAGACATTTGGGATGGATGCTGGAGCCACCAGGAAACTCATCCATCCACCAAACACCAACTTCCCAAGAATACATAAGCATCCTTTGCTGTAGGACACGGGGAAGGCCAACAGGTGACAACAACTCCCAGCAGGCAGGCCACGCTGCTGGGACAGGAGGAGGAACTGAGAGGTACTCACTGGCGTGCACCCGGACACTGCACTTCTTGCAGGACACTAGCATGCTGGTGCCATCCTCCTCCAGGTAAGGAGTAGAAAGGCTGATGTCTGTGCTGCAGCCAGTTGTGGTAAAGCACATTTCTGGGATCAATGGCTTGGTCCTCTGAGTCTGAGCAGCTGTTTCCGAAGCTTTCCCACAGGTCTGAGTAAAGCTTCCAAACTCCACCTAAGTGAAAGGCAGAGAACGTGCACCGCACAGTGAGCACACGTCTGTGCTCCTAGCCCTCCACCTGCTCCATCAGCAGAAAGCGGGGCCTCTTCCTGCTCTGACTGCAGCTATAGCTCCCGGGTGCACAGCCATTATCCTGAAGCTACTAATTGAAGTTACCTCTAATGACTCAAATTCAATTTCTCACAGCAGCATCAAACAAAGGCCCCTGGGGGACAACTGCGAAGAGGGAGCAAGTAAGAGGCCCCTGGGATTTTAGTCTTCCCAAACCCAGTGATAATAAGATGCACCGAGACATTAGCAGCAAGGCACTGCCTGTCCCCAGGTGCTGCACATGGTGGCCCCACCATGCGCACTCGGAGACAGCACCCAGAGCACATGTTCTTAATGGGCCAGCACTGATTACCTCTGAGGGCCATGTCAGCAGTCACCTGAACTACAGCACTGTCACATGGCTGGATCCCCACCTGGGATTCCTGGCTTGGGGCCTCTCTAGGAAGAACATTATGTTACGCGCTACCCTTGGCAAACTCTACGCAGAGCAAACATCCTCCGGCTCTGCCGCTGGATGGCACCATTATCCCCATTCCAAGAACAGAGCCTGGACACGTCACCCTCTGAGCCGATGCCATTCAAGAAACTCTGCCCCCACCTAGGAGATCTGCTGACAGTAACAATCAGGCCAGTCACGTCCCTCACAAAGGCACACACAGTTCTTTTGCGGTGGCTTTCTGTTAACACAAAGATCCAGTATGTGGGTCTAGGTTCCATCCTTCTGCAAACATGAGCCTGGGGCCTTGCCAAACTCAGGGCAGCTGTGCCACTAGAGCTGCTACCCTACTGCCACCCTGTGTAGGACCATCTAGGCAGTCCCTGCTGCTGTGAATTCCCGCCTGTTCTTCTAGAGCCTGGCCCAAGTGGCCCATGATGGTGAGGTCATCAGTGCCCGGCAGGGAAAGGGCCACAGTTGAACCCAGCCCTCTGCGTTAGACCCTCTGCCAAACAGCACTCACTGTGACAGTGAGGGAAGAAGAGGATGGCAGGAGAACCTGACTCTTCACCCAGCGTTGACTTCAAAGGGGGAAGAAACGGCAGTCTTGGACCCAACTGATCAGGAATGCACAGCGTCGGGCAGAAAGAGCCCCAGACCAGGAGGATAAGAAACATTAGGCTCTGCAAGCATCGAGGCTCATGCCATGGGCAAGGATCACCAATCAAGGCACTCTTAAGGGTAAGCTCCCGCGGCTGGGTTATCCGCCAAGGCACTGACATGGCGAGGACACCGGAGGAAAAGGCTCTAAAGAGAGCAGCGCTGCAGCTCCACACCCGTAATTAAGCCCAGCTTCCTGAAGGCTGGCCCGGGATGCCTGCAGGCAGCAGGGCAGGCTCACCTGGTGGTATGTCTGGAAGATCATACAGACAGCACAGTGGGGAGCCTGCTGGGCCATGAGCTCATTGAACTCCTTTTCAGCCTCAAAGTTCGGGGGTCGGTTCTGCCACAGCTGGCTCAGAGGTTTGGCCCAAGCCTCTGTCTCCTCAGCCTCTTCCTCAGGGGTCAGCTGTTCAGAAGTCTCTAGAGGAGGAAACGGGAACACGAGTCACAGCAGCCCTGAACACGGGAGGCTGGCCTAGAGCTGACGGGCTCAGCCAGGGCTCCTGGTCCCACGGCAGAGCTAAACTCAAGGTTCTAGAGACGACAGATAAAAGGCAAGGGCAGAGCTGATACCAAGACTCCTTTACGGCCTGAATGACTTGGCTGGGGTGTGTGCCTGGGTGAGGGGTAGGGGGTGGCTGTTTGTACTGCTCTTTCTGGTCAGACTGACTCAAGGTCTCTATTCTTCCTCATGTTTCAGGCACTCGGCCCACTCTATTCCCCACAACAGCTGTCACATTCAACCCTGCCCTCTCTGGGGGCAGCAGAATAAAGCACCAGTCTGCCAAGAACCACGCCATTTGCTGCCTCCCAAATGCCAGCATGTTTACGTCCTTTCCCCTCAGGGCTTTCCCTTCAGCTGTGCTGGAGAAACAGGGAGAGAAAACAAAACTGGTAAAGCCTCAAAGATGTTACATCACAGCCTTGGTCAGGACTTTCCAGCTTTCTCTGGAAAGTCCAAGGTGGGGGGGGGGGGGTCTCCCTGGCTGGGGAAAGACTCCCCAATATCTCAGAGGATGAATCTTCTTCCTGGCCATAAAATGTTCATGTCACCTTTCAACCAGGAGCTTGTGAAGGAAGAGCCTACAGGCATAATCCAACCCAAATAAACATTGCTATTGCATTTTCAGAGAATGGGGGTGGGGGAGAGAAATGATGATCCCAGAGACCATTATAAAGCCTGAATCCATGACGTGCTGGCCCAAAGTCTCCTCATCCCTCTTTTAGTGTGTCCTGCAACTCAGGCACCCTTAACCACAGCGCAAGAAAAATCCTTCTCTGCATACATCTTCCCAGAAGAGGTAAGTCTCACTACAGACGGAACACAATGGAAATCTCACAAAGCGAGATGGAAGCAATAAGGTATAAAGCCCATTAGTTTCTGGAACACACGAGGTCAAGGGGCACGGAGAGAACCCCAGAGATTCTGAATGCTGGGAGGAAGCAGGAGCAAATATCAGAAGAGACTGCTCAAGTCTATAGGAACGGCTGCCTGATGTAGGGATGAGAAGCCTGTGGCTGTATCCCTGGCCAAGCCCTCCTCTCCCCAGAGACCCCACGATCTCGGCACAGCAGCCCAGAGTGAGCTGCGCGGGCACACTGTACCAGGGCACACTGTACCAGTGTTCATTAGCTCGCTGCGGGGCTCTAGCACAGTGCGGGTAAACCAGTGCCTCCCCCACCTCTCAGTCGTGTTTCACCAAAGGGATCTGGCAGCTGCCATTGTGGACAGCCCCAGTGAAGGGCCACTGTAGCGTAAGGAGGTCAATGCAAGCAGGGCAAATCGGCCCCAAGAGGGTCCATGGTTCAGACTGGAGCCAGAGTGCCTGACCCAAACAGGAGGGACCAAGATGGTACGGAAGAGACAGAAACAGACACACTCATAGCCCCAGTCTTCGCATATGGAAATCTGTTCTACTTACAAAGCCCAAAAGGGCCCAGATCACTGCAAATGTGAACACCGAATGCCAAGGGAAACGTTCACTGTGCTAAGTGAAAACTGCAGGAGTCAAGATTTTAACAGTTTACATTTGTAAGGCTTCACAGAGCCTTATCGTCAAGACGTGTGCATTTCACTAAAAATGTACTTCAAATAAAAATGCTTTTGTAAAAAAGTAGGGAGAAATTGGGCATGGTGGTAGAAGCTCATAATTCCATCACTGATGAGGCTGAGGCAGGAGAATCATGAATTCAAACCCAGTTTGGCTACATAGCCAAACCTGCTTCTAAGAAAGGAGAAATGGTGGAACGAAGCTATAATTAGACAATCAAGACTAAGAATTCTCATACATAACCTTTGTTTGACTTATATTAATTCCAAAGGGAAAAACCCTACTGGGTACATTCTTAGGTCAGGCCAGGGAAGGAAGGTAAAGCTGGACTAAGGCTATTAGGGAACCACCGCCCTGGATGGAAAACAAGATGAACAGCAGTGTGTTATTTGGGGCGATCCGTAGGAGATGCTACTGCTGTACTAATGTGGGGTGATCTGGCTGGGACTGGTAGGCAGGCCTGTAATCCCAGTTACTCTGGGGGCTGAGGCAGCAGGACCAAAGAGTTCAAGGCCAGTCTAGAAAAGGTGGTGAGACCTTGTCTTAAAATAGAAAGTAAAAAGAGGGAGCCAGAGGGATCAGTTAAGAGCACTGGCTGCTCTTCCAGAGGACCTGGGTTCGCTGCCAGCCTCCACATGGCAGCTCACAACTCTCTACAACTCTAGTACCAGGAGATCCCACATCCTCTTCTTTGGAGCACGCTATGAATGTGGTATAGACATACATGCAAGCGGAAAAGCAGAATACTCATGAACACAAATAATTTAAGTAAAAAGAGTCTAGGGACACAGGACAGTGGCAAGTGCTTGTCGAACATGGGTGAGGTTCTGTATTAATTCCTAAAAAGGTTTTCTTTCTTTTTTAAATGAAACAGTCAGGCATGGTGGCTCATGCCTTTAATCTCAACACTCAGGAGGCAGAGGCAAAAAGATCTCTGAATTTGAGGCTAGGCTGGTCTACAGAGTGAGCTCCAGGACAGCCAAGGCTACACAACAAAACTCTGTCTTGAAAAACAACAACAAGAGTGGTCGTCGCCACTCTCCGAACTTCATCATGCCCGCACTCCCGCTTTCTTCCCCTAGCCGCCCAAGGATGACAAGAAGAAGAAAGATGCCGGAAAGTCGGCCAAAAAAGACAAAGACCCAGTAAATAAGTCCGGTGGCAAGGCCAAAAAGAAGTTTTCTCTGTGTAGACCAGGCTGCCTCTGCCTCCTGAGTGCTGGTATCAATCCTGGCGTAATTTTGTCCAAAGGCAAAGTTCGGGACAAGCTCAACAATCTAGTCCTGTTTGACAAGGCTACATACGACAAACTCTGTAAGGAAGTGCCCAACTATAAACTTATTACTCCAGCCGTGGTCTCTGAGAGACTGAAGATTCGTGGTTCCTTGGCCAGGGCAGCTCTTCAGGAGCTCCTTAGTAAAGGGCTTATCAAGCTGGTTTCAAAGCACAGAGCCCAAGTAATTTACACCAGAAACACAAAGGGTGGAGATGCCCCAGCTGCTGGTGAAGATGCTTGAACAGGTTCAATCAGCTGTACATTTGGAAAAATAAAACTTTATTAAAACAAAAAAAAAAAAAAAGAAAGAAAAACAGCAACAAAGGAAACACTGAAGTGACCAGAAAAACACATTGTGTCCATGTGAGACTAAAGCTGCCTTAGGGACCCTTCCTTTACACCGTGTGGATATATATACTGTGAAGTGACCAGAAAAATACATCGTGTCCATGTGAGACTAAAGCTACTTTGGGGATCTTTCCTTTACACTGTGTGGATACATGTCACTGTGAAGTGACCAGATAAACAGCCCGTCCATGTGAAACTAAAGCTGCTTTGGGGACCTTTCCTTTCCACTGTGTGGATACATGTCACTGTGACTGGTTAGTAAAGAAGCTGACTGGCCCATAGCTGGACAGACAAAGGTTAGGTAGGACTTAGACAAAAACAGTGCAGGGAAGAAAGGGCTCAGAGTCGCCGAAAGAAGCAAGATGAACGTGTCATGCTGAAAAATGATACTGCCAAGTGGCAGAATGAAGGTAAGAAATACGGGTTAATTTAAGTTATAAGAGCTAGTTAGGGGAGCCCGGCTGGAGAGATGGCTCAGAGGTTAAGAGCACTGACTGCTCTTCCAGAGGTCCTGAGTTCAATTCCCAGCAACCACATGATGGCCCATAGCCATCTATAATAAGATCTGGTGCCCTCTTCTGGCATAAAGCATACATGGAAGGAATGTTGTATACATAATAAATAAATAAATCTTTAAAAAAAAAAAGAGCTAGTTAGTAACTAGCCTGAGCTATTGGTCACACATTTGTAATTAATATCAAGTTTCCACATGGTTATCTGGGAGCAGGCTGGCAGGACAGAAAACCCCACCTACACTGCTTGAGCAGGGTATAGCAGCACATACCTATAACCCCAGCACCTGAAAAGTGAAAAGCAAGAGGATCACGAGCTCAGAGCCAGCCTGAGTTACCTTACACCCTGGCTCCATAGTGTACTAGCAGAGAGAAAGCAGACAAACTCACAGCAAATGTTCTGATAACAATTAGCATGCAGGGACCACACAGACTCTCCACCCTTCATTTTGTTGTAACTGAACACTGCTCATCACAAAAAGTGGAGAGAGATTCTAACAGTTATATTATTTCAAAAAGAAGCACTCAGACACGATTTATGCGAACCTAAGAGTGCATGTACGCAGTAGTCATGTGCTCCCCTTTGGAAGACAGGCATAAGGATCTTTTGCCTCTTAAAACCTCTGTTTTTCCAGTTTTCTACAGTGTATTTTGTTGTTTTGTTTGTTTTTGCTTTTTGTTTCTTTCTGGAGACAGATTCGCTGTGTAGCCCTGGCTGTCCTGGAACTCACTCTGTAGACCAGGCTGGCCACGAATTCAGAGAGATCTGCCTGCCTCTGCCTCCCTGGTGCTGAGATTAAAGGTGTGCACCACCACCCAGCTAATCTGTGTCATTTTAAAGCACCTAGGGAAGAAATCAAGCAACAGACAGGAGCTCTCAGTGGGGCTGGAGCACAAGCTCAGGGGCACTGCTGGGACCCCACTCAGGGTTTGTCCAGTCTTCTGATCCCTGGACCTCTAGCCTGTCCCCACGCCCAGGCTGTTCATGAGATGAGCTATGATGCACATGGAGGAGGGAAAGAGGAGCAGAGGGCGAAGCACTAGAGCATCACTGTGCAAGCAGAGCCTCTTCTTCCACAAGGGTGCAGATGCCAGTGCCGCTGGGGCCCACCAGCATCCACAAGGTGCAGACACAAGTACCGCTGGGGCCCACTAGCATCCACAAGGGTGCAGATGCCAGTACCGCTGAGCCCTACCAGCATCCCCTCTCTGCTCCTGGCAGCCGAGATGGCCACTCCCTGCTGCTGTCAAGATGAGTTTCAGAGCCACGCTTCCCATTTTAGCTTGCATAGGTCTTTAGTTCCCCTTTCTGCCTCCTTCCCAGGCTCCTCTGCCCAGCTATCCCCAGCTTCTGCTCAGCCTTCTTCTCTGCCTTCTCAACTAGACCCCTTTATTTAAAAATAACCCAACAAAACACATCCATGCTTCCCATATCAACATCCTCTAGCCACACGAACCAGTTTCAAAGCCAACTAAAAGCCACAAGGCGGCCATCAACTCATCCTTGTCCCTGGGGACCACCCTCTCAGCTCTATGAACCGCTGTACAATCCTGCCTTCTCTCTCTCTCTCTCTCTCTCTCTGCTTCCTCTTCTCCAGTCCCTGCCAGCACCCTAGTCCAGCTGGTCTAGGAGCAGCCCTCCTAACGCCAACCTGTGCTGCTACCCTACTTGAAACATACTTCCCTGGCTCCAAATGCCTGTGAGAAAAGCCTCAGTAGGCTCACGGGTGGGGTTGTACACCCAGCCTCACTCCCATTTGGCTCCTCCAGCTCTTTTCAATCTATAGCCATGGCCCTGAACTTGAGCCACGCTGAGCTAATGACAATTCCTCTGCACCGGTGCTCCCATTCTTCCTCTTTGTTGTGTACTCATGCAACGTGAGTCTTTCTTTAGATCTTTTTACCTGTCTCCCCCAATACTCTATGACCATCTTGAGGGCATGGACAATCTTAGCCTGCTTTGTATGCACACATTCAGCACAGGGCTTGGCAACACTGGAAAAATTTCCTATCCTGAAAAATCAGTCTTGCACCTCCTAGTTGAAGAAGGGAAAGAACCTACACAATTATCCTGTGTGTGGCACAGTCCACCGATCTTGAACTGATAGTGAAGAAAACACATTCACAAACCGGCACAAATGGAAGTCCTAGCCTCTGCCTGGTTACCTGAGAGAAGAGCTAGTAGCCATGGGCCCTCGCTCATTACTGCCCCCTGATGCCCCGAGACAGCAAGGCTCACTGTGGTAAACTGCTGTCCTTCTCGTGGAGAGCAGAGACGAGACTCACCGTCATCACTGCCACACTCCTGCAGCACGAGCGGGTGATGGCGCGGGAGCTTGCTTAAGGGCTGGCGGCGACCCTTGGTCTTCTTATTCTCTTCCAGGGAAAGCATGTACTCATCCGCAACCTGAGCAAACAAGGGACATGAGCTCGGTGATGAAACCGGAGGGAGTTATGATGACACACACCTGTAAATCTTACCGCTCGGGAGGTTGAAGTGTGAGGTCAAAGACTAAGGCAGCGTGGGCTACGTATGCAGTTCAGCATCTCAAAAACAGGAGGGAGGGACGGAGGACTGGGGAAAAGGGAAGGGGAGGGGAGTGATATAGGAAAGAAACATAAAACTGAACGAACACACACACACACACACACGCACGCACGCACGCACGCACGCACGCACACACGCACACCGTCTTAGGGCTGGGGAGACGACTCAATAATTAAAAGCATTGGCTGATCTTCCAGAGGACCTGGATTCTATTTCTGACACCTACACGGCAGCTCACAACCACCTTAAGCTCCAGTTCCAGGGAATTCAACACCCTCTTCTGTACTCTCAAGCACTGTATACATGTGGTGCCCAGACATATGTAGAGGCCAAACACTCACATGTGTAAAATAAAATAAAAACTTAAAGCAACTCAAAAAACACAGCCCGGCGGTGGTGGCGCACGCTTTTAATCCCAGTACTTGGGAAGCAGAGGCAGGTGGATCTCTGTGAGTTCGAGGCCAGCCTGGTCTACAAAGTGAGTTCCATGACAACCAGAGGTACATGAAGAAATCCTGTCTCAAAAAAACAAAACAAAACAAAAAGCAAAGCATAAGCCAGAATGTCAGGTAACTAGTCTGTACTTGTGTATTTTAGAATTTTAGGGCAAAAATCTGTTTATGTCTTACTTCCTGGCCTTCTCAGAAGATGCCTGAACTAGAGGACAAGCAGGAACCCCCCACACACACACACACTTTAAGGTTCCTGCTATGAAACATCCGAGGCCATCAGATGGGCGAGCCAAAGTGCCCCTTTCCTTGGGAGGTGAGCGTGTGTTACAGTGCATGTACTGGGCAGCAGGGCCATCCACACTGAGAACCTAGAAGACAACGGGATGAGGGCTCCTACGCCACTGCAAGGTCAGCAGTCCACTCAAGCTCCACCTTCCACCCTGCTGAGATCTGCATTCTCAGGGCCACTGCTGCTAACACCCGAATGAGGCGAGTTTCCTCTTCTCCAAGAAAGAACACCAGCCAAGGCAGAGCATGTCTGCCCTCTGGCCTAGATGCCAAGGGAAGGTTGATTTGATACCACATTTGCATCATGCCCGAGCAAACATAATTAGGTCTAAGATGTACAGGACTGACGATTACTCCACGCATTTCTTTTTAATCAACATACTTAAAAGTTGGTTGTACTGACATTATGAGACACGGGCTTGGCAAAACCATTAAGCGAGGAAATGAGGCCTAGCAGTCGGCCACTTTCCAACACTGACTAAACTAATGCCTCAGATCTACAAGGTGGGGGGGGAGGGCACTGCTGGGTCACTTCAGAGGCATCCTGAGCCCATGGAATACAGAGCATCTCAGAGCTTAACAAAAGCACATGGGATCTCAAGAGAAAACAAATACAAGTTTCTCGACAGGACAGTGTCCTGAGACCATTCACTCGACAGCTACTGCCTGGGCACCTTCCACAAGCAGAGGCCTCTCGGGAACGGAGGTGACAGGGCAGGATCTAGTCTCCTGAGTGGAAGGCGCATGGAACATACAGGAAGGAGGTGAACTACACAGTGCGCCCAAAGCAGCGGTTCTCCAGTGAACAACGGGCACCACGGTGCAGAGCACGCACAGGCCAGACCTAACCCCGTGTCACAGAACAGCAGGTGAGGAAGGCCCTCGACAGCCCACACTGGGGTGAGCAGGAAGGGCGCTGGGTACTGTCTCCTCCACCCAAACAGCCTCTTTGGTCCGCATGCTTCTTTGGGGGGTTCTGTGTGTTCTGTTTAGTTTGAGATAAACTCTTATGCATCCCAGGCTAGCATTAAACTCCTATGTAGCTGAGGATAACCCTGCATTCCTGCTCTTCCTACTGCACCTCCTAAGTGTTGGGGTTGCACGCATTGAAGCAGGGCTAGGGGAGAATCGTGGGTACACTCTACCAACTGGGTCACGCCCCTGT